TCTGCCCCTCAAGTGTTGGGATTAAAGGTGGTGCCACCATCACCCGGTTAGGCTTAGCTTCTTTTATTGGAGACTGTCTTCCCGTGACTCTGTAGCTTTTCCTCCCAGCACTGAACTTTCTTTTCCCATGTTCTTTAAACACTGTTTGGGATCCTATCAATGTTTGTGTAATTCAAGGCTCTGCCCTAAGCCTGATATCTTCTCAGAGCTCAGAGCACCATTTTTTTCTCCATAATCTCACAGTGCATTGTTTCATTAGCACATTCACCTGGGGCTGACTCCTAAATATGCCATTCTTATCCCAAAAGTCTTAATGCAGTTAGGCTGCTATTATAAAATGATGCGAGGGTTATAAACACAGAAATTTGTCTCTCGTAGTTCTAGGGGCTGACAGTTTAAGACCAAGGTGCTGGCAGATGTTGTCTCTGATAAACTGCCTAGTTCAAGAATGGCATTTCAGTTGTGCCTTCACACGGCAGACAGAACAAAGCTGCTTCCTAGACCCTCCCTTAGAAGGGCATTAGTCATCTCTCCCAAAGGCTGTAACTTCTAGTACCCTCATTGTGAGGGTTAGACATTAACCTATGAACTTGGGAGAATATGAGTTCCCATCTTTAGCTGGGCAATGGTGTCACATGCTTTTAATCCCAGCAGAACTAGGAAGAATTAGGCAGCTCTCTGTGTTCAAGGCCAGTCTGGTCTACAGAGGGAGTTCCAGGACAGCCAGGGCCACACAGAGAAAACCCGCCTCAGAGAGGAAAAAAAATTCCAATCTGTAGCATCAAATTTGTCTCTTCTAAACTCTGGATTCATCTTTTTTAATATTATATTTTATTTTATCTTATTTTGGTGCTAGAAACTAAACCTGGTGTGTCTCATACAAGCCAATCAAGGGCTCTACCACTAGACTACACCACAAGCCTCAGACTCATCATTTAAACTACCTACTAATGACCCTACCTGTCCCAGATAAACTCACCCAAACCAAAGTCATTCATTCCTCACATTTGCTCATATTCTATTATTCTTTAGTTTGTCAAATTACATGTCCTCTTCCTCAGACAATAAGACTAAAATGTGATGCTATTCACGATCCCATGACTACTCAGTCCTGGCAACCCTACCATCCAGGTGCCTTTTCTCTCTATCCACATCCCCTATGGGCTTTAACGACAATGCCTATTTAGACATTTTGTGGTTGCTGTTGTTATAAATTATAGAAATGAACTCTGATTAAGCCAAAAATGTTTATTTGAGAGAATATTGGCAAAGTCTAGAGACTCGGAGGGAAAGCCGAACAACCATTGCTTCAGGAAAAGCTGGATCTGGGGTCTTCAGCAAATAACACAGATTCAATCAACTTTCCTCTGTGTCTCTTCATCAAGCTTTCAGACTCTTGGCAAAGAGATCAAGTCATTCAGAGCCAGGACCCAGGATAGAGGGCACACATCTGTGACTACAACAGACCCTGTTATTACCCAGTCCCTCCCCAGTGTCACCATACCTGCTTGTCTTTATTTCTTCACCATTTTGTAGCCCTACAATCTCTAGTTGTCACTTTCAATGCCACCATTTCCATAGTCTAAAAATATTTTCTATTTTATTCAATTTGGTGTGTGTGTGTGTGTGTGTGTGTGTGTGTGTGTGTGTGTGTGTTTTGTTGTCTTTGCTGTTCTTGTTGCTTTGAGACAGTGTCTCATGGAGCCCAGGCTGGTGTCAAACTCACTATGTATTTGGGTGTTGGTGGCAAACGTCTTGGGAGGCAGAGGCAGGTGGATCTCTGTGAGTTTGAGGCCATCCTGATCTACAGAGAGAGTTCCAGGACAGGCTCCAAAGCTACACAGAGAAACCCTGTCTCAAAAAACCAAAACAACAACAAGGACAACAAACTCACTATGTAACCAGAGATGATCTTAAATTTCTGATCCTTCTGCCTCCTCTTCCCAAGCGTGCGGTTCATGGGAGCAAACCACCATGTCTGGCTTAGTGTTTAATGTATCTTCTTCCTTAAGACCTGTTGATAACTCTTCAGTGCTCAGACCAATCTACAGGCTTCCTAGCATCTCACCCCTAGCTTCTCTTCCTCCTCCTCCTCTTCCTCCTCCTCCTCCTCCTTCTTCTTTTGGTTTGTCGAGGCAGGGTTTCTCTGTGGCTTTGGAGGCTGTCCTGGAACTTGCTCTTGTAGACCAGGCTGGTCTGGAACTCACCGAGATCCTCCTGCCTCTGCCTCCCTGCCTCTGCCTCCCTAGTGCTGGGATTAAAGGCGTGCGCCACCAACGCCTGGCCCTTCCCTCTACTTTTAAACCCTAGACACTCTGCAGTCATTCCAATACCATTGAACAAGTCATCCTTTGTTTCAGTTAAATTTTTAGTTGCACTGTTCCTTCTTCCCCCAAATCTTCCCCTTACCTTATTAATTCAGTTTAAATGTCAGTTCTAAGTCTCTTCTAGGCTCTTTAAAAATATACATACATATTTGTTTTTGTTGTTTGTGTGTGTATTCGAAATGTATGAATGTGTGCCATGTGGGTACCCAGAGAGGACAGAAGAGGACATTAGAGCCTCCAAAGTCAGTTAAAGGTGATTGTGAGCCACCCAACATGGGTACTAGCACCCAAACTCAGATTTCTTGCTTTTAACCTCAGACATTTCTTCTACCCTGGATTAAGTGTTCTTCCTCATTGCTCCCATGGCATCCTGAACTTGCCTCTAACATGGCTATCACATTTTGTTGCACTTTCCTTGTGTTTCTCTCTGGATTAATTGTTCTCCTTAAGGAAACACATTGAATTTATGTCTGGTTTCCATGACCTAGGATGGAGTATGTGCATTGTCACATTTGTTAAAATAAACTGACTTGGAGTACCTTTCATACAAAACACCCAGTGGCTGGAAATATGTATGAAAGTCACATTCACATTTTTAAGGAGCTGACTGTCTTGGAGGGAAACAAAACCAGTGTGTAAGAAAATACAGTTAGAACTACGAGACATCTATGTGCAAAAACAATGCCTGAGGACATGGACCAGAAAGTTGACCTGGTAGCAGTGTGGAGAGGGATCAAATGGTTAGGAAGCGTGTTTTAAGGCGGGATGGAGATGAGGGAGAAGTGCCCCTGTGCATATGACATGCTTGTTGTCTTGAGAGACAGAATGAAAATGCTTGTAAATGAAGAGATACCGGGAAGGGCCGTGGGAGGAGGAGGAGCAATAGGCAAATAGGAGTTCAGACAAACGAGAGCATAGCCTGCAGAGTATTTTTCTTTAAATGTGTGTCTTTGTCTTTTACATTCTGTCTTTGGAACAGAGTGCTTCAGCATTCTAGATTGCTAATCTATCACAAATTCCTCAGTACTTTCAGAATCCAGAAGGGAATCGTGGCCTTCAACATGGAAAGTTTCCCTATTAGGGAACTGTATCTTCCTGAGATTTCCTAATATTCTTACAGGTATCATATGCCGGGTCTTTTTCCTTTCCTCCCTCTTTCCTCTCCCCTGTTCTTCCTTCCCCTTCCCTTCTCTTCCCTTCTTTTTTCACGTCTTTGTCATGGTCTGTCTATATTGCCCGAGATGGCCTCAACCTCCTGATGTCATCCTTCCCATGCCTCCCTCCTCCTCCAGTGTCTGAGTAGCTGGGACAAGGAGCATGTACCACCATACCCAGATACATCTTTCTATCTTGACTGTGTTTTCTGTGTGTGTGGTTCTTTTCCTCCAGCCTTGCCTGCACACAAACAACACAAGATGTACAACTTCTCATTGATAGCAAATTTTTTATTTCAATTTCAATACATACTCAAAGCTAGACGGGCAATTCTAGAAAAAGCTGAGCATGAGAAAAGAATAAAGAACATATTAATAAAAGAAATTAATAAAGAAAATAATAAAGGACTCTTGGGGAGGGACCCTTCAGGGTTTCATTCACTCTAGCCACAGTCTGGACATTATTAGTATTTTTTAAGGATTTATGTATAGACAAGCCAACTGGACAGAAACCCTAAGGAAAAAAGCCTACTGATATGAATCTGGACTATGTTTCCAAACTGGGGTTTTTACAGGACCTGGGCTTACCAGTCTCACCAAAGTTTTACTTAATTTTCAAGGCCCCTGTTGGTTACCTCCCTCCTTGTATTCTTTACTGCTCAAAACAGCAACCACTAGTCTTCCAGTCTGGGTGCTTCAGACACCATCCTACAAGACTCTTCTTAAGTCCCATTTTCTTAATCCTTTAGAAAAATCTCTTTCCCAAGCCCTATTAACCTCTCCTTTGTCTAAATGACAGGTCCCCTCAGCTTGTATTGCATGTTTCCAATGGTCTACATTGAAAAGCATAGCAGGAACTGGAGAGAAGGCTCAACAATTAAGAGTGCTTGCTGCTCTTGTACAGGACCTGAATTGTGTTGCCAACACTCACATCAAGTGTCTTGCAACCGCTTTTAACTATAGCTCCAGGGGGATCCAACACCTCTGGCCCCTGCAGGCCCCAGGACTAACATGCACTGCTCTTCATGCCTAATTAAAAGTCAAATAAATCTTTTTTTTTTTTAAGTATAGTAACTCCACCCTACACACACACACACACACACACACACACACACACACACACACACTTCCCGGGTTCTCAGGCCTTAGCTGTAGATAAGGATGGTAAACTGAAAGTTGGAAGTTCCGCAGACTTTCCTCCTCCATTGCACACGTGATTTCATTTCACTTAGAACCCTTACATAGGTTAAATCTCACCAGTGTCAGAAGATTAGAATGTCACCTTTAAATCACTCATTTAATGATTTAACTTTACAGATGAAATCGAGACTTCTAAGAGATGAAGTCGCTAATGTATTATCGCGTATTTTCCTTTTCTTGTTTCAGAATTAATAATGACTTCCTTTGCTTTCCCTCATTCATTAAATAAATTTAATTTCTCAAGGGCAAGGATCATCATGGTTATTCAGCTCCCACATCTGCAATCCCATCTATTAGTCTTCTCTTGTTTCCAACACAGGATCAACATTGGGTCTGAGCACACAGTGTGTGCTAAGAAAAGAATATTTTATTGACTTGAATCTTCATAGAACGTTTATCATTTAGAGGTGCTAACTTTAGACCTTCCTGCAAGTTGGTTCAGTACTCAGTGAACAGCCATGGGCCCAAAGAAACAAACCAAGTATGTAATCTTCTTTGCTCAACTAAGCTATAAACACCAATTTCTGCTAACTTACTTTGTCCCTCACAGCATTCTAGATGGTGTGAATCAGAGTGTGCCTTTATTAAATATTCTGTAGTTGACCAACTGTTTGCAGAACAAAACAGAGTTGGAACTTTTGTTTCACTGTAGCAACAAAAGGACTTTTGCCAAAAAGAAAGGACCAGGAGGGTCAAGATGAGTACTGCTGGGATATTGAAGAGCTTTTTGTGTAGTTCAAGGCCGAGTATGAGATTCTGTGATATTTTGTAAATACACACACACACACACACACACACACACACACACACACAAATCATTTTGAAAAGTGCTACAATAAAAATGTTGCAACAGTATTATTATGTACTTACAGGAAAAGAATACATCAAAAAGGCACAAACTTTAAGATGTTTATTCTAAAAGAACTTATTGAAACCTATCCAATAGGCTTGGGAAGGCTTTTAAGCCCTTTGGTCTAAACTTGGAGGAGTAGGAATGTAGCTCAGTTGCACGGCCTTGTTTAGCAAGTATAAGTCCCTAGGTTTGATCACTAATGGGAAAAGAAGAGTCAAGGACTCCAGAATACTTTTTTATTAGATATTGCAACTTCCTCCTTCCCCTCAAAAGGAATTGGTATCTGGAGAAAGATGGGGAAGTGAGTGAAATAACAGTTCACCAAACCATCTGCCATTGATGACTATTTTTACCACCCTAGTTCTAGGGAAATAAATGTTTAGATGTGGTTCGGAAAATGATTTGACCATTAATTCAAGCAAAGCCAACAGGAATCAGAAAGTTAGTTGTGAAGTTCCCTGGCTATATTCCTTTCCATGACTGGCCAATTGGCCTTCTCTAGCAAAGTCAGAGCATTTTGACATGGAGGACAAGCAGGTAGGTATTCAAAATAGTCGTAGGTGGTCTTTAAGCAATGATAGTCTAGCTGTCTGCAAGAGTTTCCTTGGGTGTTCTTCTAAAGCAATTTCTTTTAGTGATCCAAAACTCCTATTTAAAAAGTTAACTTACTGGATGCCAGCATATCCTGGAGAAGTCAGTATTTGCTTAACTCTTTAATCTCAAATCTTTTCTCAGCATGCAAGCTGGCTAAGAGTTCTACTCAATTCATGAGCACCTAAATTAGTAATCTCCCAAATTAAGCCCTAACTTAAACAGAGATTGAGAACACACAGAGAGTTGGGACTCTTGAGTCGGTAACATTACTGGATGCTCCACCACTTTTTCAGGTTTCTCGATGACAGGACTTCAAAGACTATGGAAAATGTCTCTGTTAAATTTGAGAAAAAAACAGATCCAGATGACGAGGTAAGAAAAACCAGTAATAGATGTCCTATGTCAGTTTTCCTTGGGATTGCTTAAACTATCTTACAAACAGTGGCTTTATAAACTTCCTATGTAAAAGCAAAGAGAAGCAAACATTTATATTATTTTATTTTATAAAAAAGAAACATAGAAGTTAAGGGGGGCAACAAATCAAGACTCAAAACCTAAAAACTAGTACTTACCTTAGAGTATATTAAATTCTAATTCACCTAGACATCAAGGCTATTTTTTATGTCATTTTTAATTATTTTTAAAGTTAGCATACGAAGTAATGTGTTGTTTTGTTTGTTTGTTCTGTAGTACTAGAGACTAAACCCAGGGCCTCATGTATACCCGTCAATCACTCTATCATCGAGCTATCTCCATAACCCTTTTTTTTTTTTTTTTTTTTGGTTTCCTGAGACAGGGTTTCTCTGTGTAGCTTTGGAGCCTATCCTGGCACTCACTCTGGAGACCAGGCTGGCCTCGAACTCACAGAGATCTGCCTGCCTCTGCCTTCTGAGTGCTAGGATTAAAAGAGTGCACCACCACCAGACAAATTTTTCTTCCTTTTTTTTTTCTTTTTAACTTTTTAATAACAGGTCTCACAAAGTTGCCCAGTGTAACCTTGAACTCAAGATCCTTCTGCCTCTGCCTCTGCCTCTGCCTCTGCCTCTGCCTCTGCCTCTGCCTCTGCCTCTGCCTCTGGATTAGCCAAGACCATAAGCCTGTGCCTCTAAGCTTGGCAAAGTAGTAAGTTTCAATGTGACGTTGGTGTGTCATATGTGTATGTCAGGGTAATTTATTCCTATTTGCCCCCTCCTGCTACTGTTTACCCATCTTCTCTATCTTCCTCTTACTGACTCTCTTTTGTGTTCATGTCACCTATATTCTATAATCTACTGTCCTAGTTAGTTTTGTCAACTTGACAGAGCCTAGAGTCATCTAGAAGGTAGTCTCAATTGAGAAATCACCCAGGTCAAATTGACCTGTAGACGTGTCTGTAGGGTCTTGTCTTGATTGCTAATTGATGTAGAAAGGCCCAGTCCACTATGGGCAGCACCATTCCCTGGGTAAGTACTCTGGCCTAGAAAGCCAGCTAAGCATAAGCCTGGGAGTGAGCCAGCAATTCCTTCATGGTTTCTGCTATAGGTTCCTGCCATGTCTTCTTCCAAAAGTGAACTGTGACCTGGAAGTATAGGCCCAATGAATCTCTCCTTCCCCCAAGGCGCTTTTTATCAGTGTGTTTTTATCATAGCAACAGAAAGGAAACTAGAACACCTACTACCTTGAGATCTCTTCCTCCCATTGATGGTCTCTTTTCTACTTTTGCCCAGCCACACACCACATGCACATATTTAAATCTAGTTTCTGTATGTGAAAGAAAAACAAGTGTATTTATCTTTCTGAGTATGGCTTCTTTTACTTAACAAAATGGGCTCCCATCCATTTTCCTGAAACTGTCATAATTTCATTCTTCTTTAAAGCTAAATAAAATCCATTGTGTATATAGACCACAACTTCTTTGTGCATTCATTTATTGGATATCTGGGCTGTTTTTCACCCCTTAGCGATTGTGAATGGTACAACAATAAGCATGGATATGCATAATCTCTGTGGTTTGTTGATTTGGGAGTAGTATAGAGATGGTAGCCCTGTTTTAAATTCTTTTAAGAAACTTCCACAGGCCTTCCATGGTGGCTGCATTTATACTCCCACCAGCAGTACATAAGGGTTTCAAGGTCACTGCATGTAGCAAAATTCCATTGGTTATCTTGGTTGCTTTCCCAAGATTATCATGTTCAAGTGAATTTTTGAAGCCAACTTTTATTTCACCAGGGATAATGTAAGTCAACTTGGCAAAATTAAAAACATACTCCAATTGTTAGGCTTAGTCAGCTGCTACAGGCTGATTTGGAGCCGAGAAGCAATTCCTCAGCAAAGTCCAGAAGTTAAAATGTTTTCCTCATAGACTTCTCCCCCTAAAATTAATTTTAAAACATTCTTAAGGGGAAAAAGCTTTCAAACATCCCCCCCCCCAAATTCTATTTTATACATCACACAAAAAACTTGTGAAGCAGGTTTTTCAAAACTTTTGTTTTGAACAAGTAGGTGTTAGTTTTCCAAAAGTCAAAAACAAAACTTTTAGTTCTCTGGATTTGCCCCTTATTTCTTCTTGCTCTTTCTAACAGAAGAGGCTGGGCTGATACTCTCAGTCCTCATCTAACCCAAAAGCCACAATGCCCGGCAGTTTTCCCCTGAAGTACAGTACATTCTTCCCTCCTATGGTTCTACCCAATTCTTGCTGTCTCCTTCATCTCCATCTGCTTTTAGCGTTAGTCACTTTTCAGTGCATACCTCCTTTTCCCAAAACCCCATCTTAACTCTTTGGAGGCATGGCCTCTTCCAAACTGATGCTCCAAACACAGGATTATGCTTGTCCTCTTGTCTTCTGATTTCTGAGTATGCTAAGGAGGTAATTCATGGTGTCTGTCTCCTGTGTTCTTCCTACTTTTATTCATCCTTGGATAACCCAGGCCTAAGTACATGGGCAGGAGCCCTTCCTTTATCAGACAGGACACTCTAACAGTCTAAATGGCAGTACTTCCACTAATCCAATGATGCTAAGTACTACACAGAAGGGACATCAAAAGTTAACTATTTTTTTTGAACATCTCTAAAAGAATTATATTTTGCAGAGATATTCAGATATGGAAAAAATCTGTTTTCCCTTCTTCTGTGAGTGTCAGTTCCCAGTTCAGTTGCTAGAGTTGTCCCCGGAGGCTCCTGGAATCCACATCTCTTAGGTTTTGACCTTTTGTAGCTGCTTTTCTCCTTAAAGGTTAGGCTGGATTAGTCTCTCAGTTGATGTCACCTGATTTTACTGCTGTAGAGGGAAAAGGAAGGGGAAAGGTGTGATTCCACTTGTCTGCTCCTCTATAGTCAATGCAGCAGTGTGTGTGTGTGTGTGTGTGTGTGTGTGTGTGTGTGTCCATGTGTGTTCATGTGTGTCAGGGTCTATGGGGGTTGAGGGTACATGTGCATATGTGAATGGAGACAAGAAGTCACTCCAAGATTTTGCTCCCCGGGAACTACCCATCTTGTTTTTTTGGACCCAGTCTCTCACTGGTAACCGGCTTCACTGAGTAGGCTAAGGTGACTAGTCAAGGAGCTCCAGGGTCCTACCTGTATTTGCCTCCCCAGAGCTGAGATTGCAATTCTGTGTCTTGATGCATGGCTTTTTATGAGGTTGCTATGGATCTCTTGCTCCCGTGGCAAACACTTCTGTGGATTGAGTTAGCTCACTAGTCTCCTTACAGGAAATTTCCGAGGCAGGTCAACATTACCGTCTACAAACTTCTTCCCGTATCTCAGGATTTCTGAATCCTGCTCTCCTGGCTGTAGACTTTGTTCTAAAAACCCAGAATACAACACAGGCAGAATAGTTTCTCCTCGTTTAGTGTCTAGAAAAGACTCTTTTAGTGAGGATGAAGTGAGGTCTTGCTGTTTAGTAGGTGTGACTACCTAGTAGGCACTAGGTAGATACCTCAGTGGGTAAAGTGTTCATCCAGCAAGTGTGAAGGACCTGAGGTGGGATCCCCAGGTCAGGGGTTGGGAAAGTGGCTAAACTGGTGGAGTGCTTGCCTGGGATGCGCAAAGCCCTCGTTAAATCCCTAGTCCCAGATAGTCCAGGCAAGCCTGGAACCTGTGCTTAAGAGGTAGAGGCAGGAGGATCAGAATTTAGCCTTGGATGCATGAAATCCAGTCCTTAAAAAACATGTTTGTTTGTTTGTTTTTTGTTTTTTTTAAATGTGGCAGTGTGGGCCCATAACTCCAGTTATTTTGGAGGAAGGGCCAAGAGACAGGAGGATCCCAGAGCTTGCTTGCCAGCCAGGCTAGCTGA